CCGATTCACTCAAAACAGATTTGTTGTTCTCTTAACCACCTAAATGAAGGTCACGACTCTGGAGACAGACTCCCAGCGTTCATATTCTAACTACTTTGCTCCCTTGTAGTTGTGGGATCTTTGGCCACTTTCCTTAACTTTACTATACAGCACCTATAAAATAGGTAAAAGTAACTTCTTTGCAGAGTTGCAGGGAAAGGTTAACTGAGTAAATACAAAGCACTTACATAGGGCTGGAGAGATGGCTTAGCAGTTAAGAGCACTTGCTGTTTTTGCAGAGTACCTGGGTTCCATTTCCAGCACCCACATGGTGGCTCAAAACCATTTGCTTCTCCAATTCTAAAGGATCCAACAGCCTCTTATTGCCTCCATGGGCACCAGATATGCATGCAGTACTCATACATTCAAATGGCAAAACACCCATACACATAAAATAAATCTTAAAAAACAAAACCAAACAAAAAAAGTACTTAGCACACAGTAAATGCTCAGTTAATATTACCTGCAAATGGGGCTGGGGATATGGCTCAGCAGTTAAGAATGAATACTGCTCCTCATGGAGAGGACCCAAGTTTGGTTCTCAACATCTGCATGGGGCAGTTTACAACTGTCTATAACTCCAGCTCCAAGGAGATACAATACCTTTGTTCTCCATGAGCAACTACACTTAACATTCAAATAACCCCCTACACACATATAATTAAAAATAGAGAAGTAAGAACATTATCTATTATTGCTGAGTCCTAATGTCTTCCTCGGGGGAGGGGGTGAAAAGGCACGATGTCAGCAGACACAGACGCCAGGAGTCAGGTCGAAGGCTTACAGCAGATTCATTTGTTTAACAGTGAGGAAAAGCTTATATACCCTCCCAGCACCCAGGCCTTCTCATCCCTTGACAGTTGACAGCACATGCTCATCTCTCATTGGCTAGTAAAATCAGGACCTCTGACAGCGCCTGTTGCTAGGCACTCAGAAACATTGTTTGGTTGCTCCTTATTGGCTAGGCACAGACAGGACCTTTGACAGGTTCAGGCAGACTCCAGGTTGGCTCCTTTTGGCCTGGTAGGCCTTAACTTCCTACAATGTATGAATGTGCCAGTTAGAGGACTTTAGGCAGCAAGGTCACCAAATTTAAGTATTTTGCGTGTGTTCTCTATTTGTGTTATCAAAACAGGTGAGGTCACTGATGTTTATCAAGGAGTTGAAAAATGAGATGTATATGAGTTAAGGAACATGCTGACAGGCTTGTCACTATGGAGTAGGGAATTGTCTTTAGAACCGTACTCTCTCATCCCATTCCCATGTCACAGTAGCTCATCACCTTACAGAAGCTAGCATACAAAAATTGAAAATGCTGAATATATTGCAAAGATTTAAGAATCATAAATACTTCCTTTCCTGCATTCTTTACAAATGTTGTACATCAATGAAATCAATGAAATATATTTAATATCAGTCTGTATACTTGCCTTATGATTGGTGCCAGTTTGTGAGCTGAGACTTCCTGATTCTTGATATTATGAATACTATTCATAAGGGTATAAAACTGAAAAATTTGTCATAGTTATTCACATTAGTGTGTGTGTGTGTGTATGTGTGTGTGTGTGTGTGTATACAGACATGCATTGGGGCAGGGCAGAAGACAGTCTTAGGTGTTGCTCCTTAGGCAGCATCTAACTTTAGTTTTCTGTCCAGATACGTTTATTGGGCTGGTTCCCACTCATCATGAATCAGAGTGTCTTTGATGCTGCTTCCTCCTGAAGGAGCATCCTCTGTCAGCCCTTCCTGACAATGAAAATGAGTATTGACTTGTTTTGTTGAATCCTTCCTTCAGCTGTCTTACTAAGTTTTAATTTTTGAGATTATATCATTTCCCTGTTTCTTTCTTCCCTCTGAACTCTCCCATGTACTACCCACTTCTTGCTCTTTTTCAAAGTCATGGCTTCTTTTTTCTTTTATTGTTGTTACATTCTCTCTGTGTATGTATGTTTGTGTTTTCCTAAATACGTAAATACAACCAGCTCAATATAATATAATGTTACGTGTATGTTATGTTTTCAGAACTGACCATTTGGTATTCGATAACAAATTGGTGTGCTTTTCACTGGGAAAGACCTAACTGCTACTGTCTTAATTATTTTTACTGTAAAGAAACACCATAACCAAGGAAGCTTATGAAAGAAAGCATTTAATTTGGTGCTTGCTTACAGTTTCAGAGGGCAAGTCCATGACCATCATGACAGGGAACATGGCAGCAGGCAGGAAGTCATGGCATTGGAGCAGTAACTGAGAGTTAACATATTGAGATAAGAGAGAATTAGCTGGGAATGGCTTGGGCTTTTAAAACCTGAAAGTCTACTCCTTAGTGACAAGCCTTCTCCAACAAGGTCACACTTCCTTATCCTTCCCAAACAATTCCTCCAACTATGGACCAGCATTCAAATACATGATCCTGTAGGGTCTATTATCATTCAAACCACCAAAGATGTCTAGATCTTCTTTACAGTAAGAGTCTAATCTGTTAAAGGATAGCAGCCAAATCTTACTTTACTGTTATTTCTCTTCACTGTCTATTAGAATCTCTGTTTGTAGTGAGTTTTCTATTTTTCAAATACTTGTTTTGTAGCAGCTAACACAATATTATATCATAGAGTAAAAATCCCATGTAGGAAAGATCTTTTTGGCTTTTAGAGACAGTTTTTTTTCTGTAGCTTTGGAGCCTGTCCTGGAACTAGCTCTTGTAGACCAGGCTGTCCTCGAACTCTCAGAGATCCTCCTGCCTCTGCCTTCCGAGTGCTGGGATTAAGGGGCTGCACCATCACCGCCTGGCAGGATCTTTTCATTGTATAGATGAGAGTCCTGCATTCCCTGATCCATCTAAGTATTATAAGTCTAGTTACATACAGAATTTCAGTTTAATATACTTTATGTGACTCCAAAGTTCAGCAATGAGTTGAAGAAATTATTTCAGGACCAGAGAGATGGCTCAGCAGTTAATAGTACTGGCTCATCTTCCCAAGAACCTAGGTTCAATTCCCAGCACTCACATGATGGCTCACAACTATATGTTCCAGTTCCAGAAGATCCAACACCCTCTTCTGGCCTTTTTGAGCACCACATATATACATGGTATACAGTCATACATGCAGACAAAACATTCATACAAATAAAAATTAAAGAAATTAATTTCATTTAGTAAGAATTTATTGAACAAAAATTCTTGGCATAGTAGAATAAAATTTAGCACGTCTTTAGCACATACATTTAGTATTTTAAGAATATATTCATCTATGATATGCTTAAAGTAAGAGCTGAATAAAGCCAAATTTTATTTGAGTTGTATTGGTTGGTTGCTTGGTTGGCTTATTTTAATGCTAATCATACACTCTGCTACTGAGCTACACCTGCAGCTCTGAAGAAGGCTAGTATTCAAGAGCACTGCACCATAAGTTTAGTGCTATTAATCAACAGAAAATTAGAATGCAAACTATATATGTTGATTAAAGCTTTTCTGGAATTGGATTATCTTTGAAAGTAAAAATAATTATTAGATACCCCCAGAGTCTATTATAGATCTTCCAAATTTCTCCTCCTTTTTTCTGCTTTGTTTCTGAATACTCAGGGTCAATCCTAGAGTCTTGCAAGTTCTTTCCCACCATGTGTGCTCCAAAGCTTTATTTTAGTAAGAAGGTATAGTATCTATTTAAAGATAGGTATTTTAAATGTGTTTTATAGAGTAGCTCATTACAGTTATATAGCCAAATAAATATTTGCAATTAGTCTTTCTGCTTATTTTTTTATGATTTTTTGAAGACAAGGTCTCTTGTAGCCAGGCTATCCTAAAACTTACTCTGTAGTTAAGGATGACTTTGAATTCCTGATTCTTGTGCCTCCACATCCCCAAAATTACAAGTATGAGCTGTCACACAGATAAAGATTAAGCGTTCTTAATTAACTTTGAGCAAATGACAAAGCATTTTGGTGCTTTTCTGTGCTCTGGAAAACATGGTCAGGGCCTAGACCTAGAGTCAGAGTACCTGCTCTTGAGCCCTATCTGTAGGCTGTGTAATCTTATGCAAGTTCTTTTTCTATGCTCCAATGTTCTCAGTTGTCACAAAGGATGAAAAGAATCTGCCTACCTCACAGAGTTGCTATAGTGCTAAGAACAAAGCTTTTAGCCAGCTCTATGTACTCGATAGATGTTATTACTACCTTGATTTGTTGATCGTCTTAGACATTTCAAAAAATACTAGAGTCCTTTTGAGTTTCCTCATACAGTGGTAATATATGGTTTCACCCTTTAAAGAGATGAGTTTTAAAAGCTATTGGGCTTTTCCAGCTGTGTGCTTTTGGTGAGTGGGTGTTTGGTTCCAGGGTAATTGGTCAAATACAATGCCCAAGTCAGTTAGTCTACTTTTTCCAGCTCAGAAAATTCTATGATGTCTTCTGAGAAACTTGACAGTTTCTGTTCTCTAATTTTCTTGCCTAGCGTGTGACAGGAGCACAATAACTTTTCATTTCTTGCTGCACTACAGAGCAATATTTTTGAAGACATTTTAAGTGACAATTAAGATCCATGTAAGTTAGAATTCACCTGCATTTTTGGTGCGAAGAATAGCTAAACTAAAATAATCAAATAAGTAGATACCATATATTCATAGCTAAGTTTGAACATGTACAGATTAAAATAGCTAAAGTACTCCTTAATACTCTGCTTATACCTGGCATACTTCCTATCATACATCATAAGATTCATAGTAATGTCACAACAGGTAATGCTGAAATGTCTTAAAATCAGTGAAATAGATACTAGTTTGAGAAAATAACACATTTTTCAAGTGAATTGAAATAGTCGTGTTCTTTGTGATGCTGCATATAGCAATAACATAGTATATAAAACTAAAACTGGAAAATAAAACTGTGATTCTAGTTAACTTGTATTGTATAAGCAGTGTTTTAATATATACAGTAATAAAGTACTGATGTCATTTTCTCCATAGAACTACTTTCTGCTCTCTTCTTCCATGGATAAGACAGTCAGGTTATGGCACATTTCTAGAAGAGAATGCCTTTGCTGTTTTCAACATATAGATTTTGTCACTGCCATCGCTTTCCATCCAAGGGTAAGTAACCATTCACTCTTTGTCATGAGATGAAGGAATTTGATTTCTGTGGAGAGCAGTTAGGACTACAGGATAAAAAAAATCATTACTGACCACATAACTGAAAGCAAATTAGTGTCACATTTTGCTTTAAGAATGGGAAGGGAGCTGGGTGTTGTAACACAGTCCCTGCACTTGGGAGGCTGACATACATGAATCTCTGTGAGTTTGAGTCCAGCCTAGTCTATAGAGTAAGTTTTCAGACAGCCAAGGCTGATTAGGGAGACCACGTCTCAAAAACTGGGGAAAGGGACTGAGAATGTAGCTTAGTAAGGTATTTGTTTAGCAAGCAGGAAGCTCTGGGTTTAGTTGCGAGTACTACAAAAACTGGGTGTGGTGACACATGCCTGTCCTCACAGTTCTGGGAAGGTAGTGACTGAAGGGTCAAAAGTTCACAGTCACTTTCCATTACACAATGAGTTTGAGGCCAATCCGGGATACATAAGAAGACCCTGTCAATCAATCAGTCAGTGGTTGGAAAAGAAATATTCTAATAATTTGTATTACAAGTGGGGAATTATATTCTAAATACAGTAGTAAAAAGCTATCCCAAATCCTTAATAGCTCATGAACTATAAATACAGTATACACTACATATGGAAGATAGTAGAGAGAGAGAGAGAAAAATAGCAGCTAAAAATGGTAGTGCATGTCTGTAATCCCAGCTCTCTTTAAACTGAATCAGGAGGATCACTAGTTTAAGACAGGCTGGCCTATATGATAAGACGTTGTCTCTAAAAGGAGGAAACAGTAGGTGTAAAATGGTAACAGTAAGTATATAGGTGAGAATTGTGGAAGGGGGACAAAGTACAAAAGACTGAAATAGGTAGCTACCACATTTCATTGTATGGTATCCTAAATTAATATTTAGGCTCTTGAAACATTGTTAACGAATATTTTGTGTGTGTGTGTTGTATGTGTGTATGCTTGCATGCATGTGTGTGCACTTAAGTGTATACATGTGCATAGGGGAGTACACTTGCCATTGCATTCACTTGTGGAGGCTAAAGTCAACCTTGAATTATTTTCCTCTGTGACACTCTACCTTATTTTTAATAACTAATGATTTTTTTATTGTTTTATGTATATGGATATTTTATATGTATATCTATGTACCACATGTGTGTCAGGTGCCCTCCAAAGCCAGAGAGGGTGTTAGATCATTTGGAACTAGAGTTACAGGTGCTTGTGAGCCACCAAATGGATGCTAGAAATTGCACCTGTGTCCTCTGGTAGAGCAGCCAGTGCTCTTAACTGCTGAGCCATGTCTCCTACCCTACCTTATTTTTTGTGAGAGAGTCTCTTTCACTGAACATGGAGTCACTGTTCTGGCTAGACTGGCTTGCCAGCAAACTCTCCAGAGTCTACTTATCTTGTCCCCTGCTCCAGCACTGGGGTTACAGATTTGTACCGCCACACCCAGCTTTTATGTAGGTGCTAGCGATCAACAGTCGAGTCCTCCTGGTTAGATAGCAAGCACTTTACTCTAACAAGCTATTTCCCCAGCTCTTGTTAGTCTTAATCTTGTTTGTTTCTTGTTTACTGTTTCTGAGATCAGGTTTCACTGTGTTGTTCTGGCACACATCAAAATCTTGGTTTCAAGTGTTCTTCCTGCCTCAACCTTTTGAGTAGTTTAGGCAGCATCCATGAGAGGCTTCAGCGGCGAATTAAGTGTCTAATACGAAGAAAATGTCCTGATTATTAATATGTAATCCGTGTGTGTGTAGGGGGTGGTTCCTTCTCATATTATCTTTTGTGTATGTGTACCTTCTCATATTATCTTTTGAGAAAGAGTTTCTCACTTAATCTGGAGCTCACCCATTTGGCCAGACTTGTTGGCCAGGGAATTCTAGGGGGTCTACCTTTCTCTGACCCCCAACACTAAAGTTACTAATGTGTGCCATTGCCATGTATGTAGATGCTGGGGATCCAAACTCAGGTCCTCACACTTTACCAACTGAGCCATCTCCCTAGCCCCTCATCAGTAATTATGACATTACCAGAATTTAGCCCAGCTGAGTGGTAGGACTAATGTCATTTACAGAGGACTTTTCAACCTTGACTCTACTGACATTGTTATGGGGAGGGATGAATGTCCTGTCTGTATATTGTAGGATGCTTAGTAGCACTTCTGGCCTCTATTTACAGTGGTAATATCCTCCCCTACGCCAGACTATGACAATCAGAAATGTCTGCTGACATTGCTGTGTGCCTAGGATAGAGTCAGTTTCTCTATATATAGAACTCTTAGTCTGTAAGTCAGTATCAGAGTTCCTAAAACGCAGGTTCAATTTGTAACTGGCGTTAACCTGGTATCCCAATGTTACACGTTCCTGAAACATGTATGGCATAAGATAGTGTTTCCCAAAGCATACCCAAAGAAAATCCAGGGTGAAGGAAATTAAAAAGTCACTACCCACTTTATTCCCCCTTTTGGAGATTCAAAAATACAAGTTAACAGAGAATCCTATGAAGTTTTTACACTCCAGAATTTCTTAAACTTAATTGATTGTAGAATATTGTTTCATGTAATGCGTACTCAAACATTTCTATTAACAGCCATACTTTGGAAAAACAGGTTAAGGATATGATAAAGTGATTTGAATTCTGTTTCTCCAACATGAAATCTGACATGTTTAATTGTTGTCATTTTAGTGCACAGAATGGTGCTTGCTTGAGGACTGATTCTTTGTGGCTAGGTGTAAATGTAGTTTCACTGATAGAGTACTTGTTTGCATGCATGAGGCCCTGACTTGACTCCCTAGTTCCCAGCCTTCACAAGAAAAAGCAGTAATAATTACTTTTCAAGTAAGATTTCATTTTAGATTATTATTTCTAATCTTTTATTTTATTAATTGGCCTGATATGAACATAAAAGCATTCTCTTTCGCCACCTTTTTAGGATGACAGGTATTTTCTCAGTGGATCATTAGACGGAAAGCTCCGCCTGTGGAACATTCCTGACAAAAAAGTGGCTTTATGGAATGAAGTAGATGGTCAGACAAAATTGATCACAGCTGCCAACTTCTGTCAGAATGGCAAATATGCAGTAATTGGGACGTATGATGGTAGATGTATTTTCTATGATACAGAGGTAAGAACCTTGTGGTTTTACACAAGTAATTCCTACCCTCTGGCCTTTAACTGCCTTTTCTGTAAAATAGGGCAAAAATGGTAATATCTGAAACTTGGAGCAAATGATCCTTGAGGTTTCTTCTAATTCTGATCTTTTTAATTTATGATTTTTGTTTTAGCATTTGAAATACCATACACAAATACATGTACGATCTACTAGAGGGCGAAACAAGGTTGGAAGAAAAATTACTGGCATTGAACCTTTACCTGGAGAAAATAAGGTACTATAGTATTCAAATCCATCTCTCTCCACACTGTGTATTGATTCTTGAAAGATAGTTTTAATATCTGAGCAATAACATAGGGGAATACTGCTGTTTGTAGTTTTGCTGTTTATTTGCTTGGTGTTTAACACCTTTTGATGTTATGACTTAATTTATATTAAAAGGTGGTTTTTTTAAAAACTTTTTTTTAAAGAGGATTTTTTCTGTCTAGCCCTAGCTGTCCTGGCTATAGACCAGACTAGGCTGGCCAAAAACTCACAGAGATCCACCTGCCTCTGACTCCTAAATCCTGGTATTAAAGGAGTGTGCCACCACCGCCTTTAAAAGATGATTTTTATTTTGGTTTTTCGACACAGGGTTTCTTTGTAGCTTTGGAGCCAGTCCTGGAACTCACTGTACAGACCAGGCTGACCTTGAACTCACAGAGATCCTCCTGCCTCTGTCTCCACCGCCTAGCAAAAGATGATATTTTTAACTTTGCTTTTGGTTTGCTTTTAGATATTGGTAACCTCAAATGACTCCAGAATCAGATTATATGATCTCAGAGACCTATCACTGTCCATGAAGTATAAGGGTTATGTCAATAGCAGCAGCCAGATCAAAGCAAGTTTCAGGTAAATTGGCATTGGGAAATTCCCAAAAGTATGGCATTTCTTCACTCCCTGTTTTTCATTATATAAGGTTTTAAGTCTATATGTTTTTATAATCATATCACACACTATCATCATACAGTGCTTACTTTGTCTACCTGAATGGTAGGTAAGAAAACTACCCCTCTTTTGCAAAAAAAAAAAAAAAAAGCAAAACCCAGAACATTAAATAATTGGCCTAAAATCATCGTTGTCAGAGACATTAAAGCTTAGAGGATTCTTAGTTCCAGAATATTTGCTTTTCAACTTTCATGTAAGCTTTTAAGAGGCACTCACCCCCCACCACCACTACATGCATACTGTCTTTATCCTTTTAGGTGCAGGAGCTAAGAAAGTATTTTATCACCCTAAAGTACCTTGTCATTATACCTTTACTTGTCATTATTCTTTCAGTTCTTAATTTGGGATCTGTGAGCTCTCCTGAAATAGGATTACCTGCCTAGCTTTTCTTCTTTCAAATTCTGCTATCAACTTTTCTTAAAAAATTAGTTCTTCTTGAAGTACCTAGTAATTACCCAGCCATTCAACTGATGAACTATCCTTTAAGTCACTAGTTCTCCTAGAGTGAATTAATCAACATCACAGTTATCAGGACTTTGATGAAAATACTAATGCTGATCATGGTTAGCATGATGAAGCCCAGAGTTGGGTGCTCAGCACTAATAATAATGTTCAAAAACTGAACAGCAGGTTACATCCCTATGTCTGGAAAGATTAGCCTTGTTATCACAAGAGATAGTATAGTCATTATAACAGTGCTAGAACAAGTAAGTAGCAATGAGCAACAGCACCAAAAAAGCCTGGCTCTGAATCAAACCACCTTTGGAATCTTCAGAATAAGGAGATGGCTCGAGTTTTCAACAATCTCCCTCAGGTGTTGTTTTAGATATTTTAAATTAGGAAGCACTGATAGAAGGAAACCTTGATTTTTTTTTTCTGTTTATTTTTTGACCTGTCCTGCTCAAATATAGCCATGACTTTACTTACCTCGTTAGCGGTTCAGAAGATAAATATGTTTATATCTGGAGTACTTACCATGACCTAAGCAAGTTTACTTCAGTCAGGAGAGATCGTAATGACTTCTGGGAAGGTATTAAAGGTAAGCAAATGCAGCTTACTTATATGTATGTGCCTTATTATAAAGGAGTAGAGATTTGTTGTGACTGCACTATGCTGGAAACATAGATGGACATACTTATGTCTCTCCACTATGTCAGAATTTATAGATTTACAATAAACTCACAAGTTACAACAGTTTTGTTGGCTGCAATTTCCCAAGAAGTCCCAGTTTTCTTTGATAGCTGGCCTTTGGCCAACACAGGCTCTTTTATCCCAATTCTTAAGAATTGTTACTTGTGTGGGGGTAGTGTGGGAGGTGTAGTTCCACACAGACACTGTGCAAGTGTAGAGGCCAGAGAACAGCTCTGTGGAGTCAGTGCTCTCCTTCCCCTGTGGGTTTTAGGATCATACTCAGGTCTCTAGGCTTGTGTCACAAGAACCTTTACCAATTGAGCCATCTCGCTGGCCCTTTCATTCCAATCTTAATTACTAATATTACGTTTCAAATCACACATTGCACATGATACAGTAATTAGTAGTTTATAGAGTGGGTGCAAAAGGGTTAAAGAGGTCACAGAGTTCAGGGAAGCTTTCCTGGGGCAGAGGCAGATAGATGCAAAGAGAGTCACTGAGGCAGTTAGAAAAGACATTAAGGAACACAACTGAAGAGCTTCTGGAAGCTCAGCAGAGCCACCCACAGCCAAACTATGAAAATACTGAACTGAAAAACAGGTGGCAGGCAGGCAATTCAAGTGGGACATTCCAGCAGGGGGACTGAGCTGAGCTTAAACTCACAGGACAATTAGAAGTTCTCTGTTTCTGACATAGACCAGGTTGTCAGATAGCAGTTCACTGCATTTGTAACCAGTCATTAAAGTGATAGGTTCTATCTTTTTATAGGGTCCAAATGAGAGTATCCCACCTTTCAATGTGTTCACTAAGTTCTGGGGCCCAATTTTTTTCTCTGATAAAGTTTTAATAGGCCCATGTAGTCATAAGCTTCTAATCTACTTCGATGAGTTTGTAGGTGTTACCCTTGTAGCTTTAATAAGGTATCAGTCTGTGCTTGTAGTTGGTGCTGGACGGGTGATGGTGTCTGTGTGTACAAATGAGATGTAAAGCCATCCTGCCTCTGCATTTCTATTCAAAATGTAGTCAAATACTGCTTTGTAAGATGGAGCCATCCAGAGCAAGACTTGGAGAAACTTGGAGCAAGGCACAACTTGATCTTCAAGACTTATTCTCAGCTTAGCAATTATAACTCATTGTATTTCAATAGCAAACTATTTCAGTTTTCTATACCAAAAAAGAATTTTCTTGGCCTAAAATTTGAAAAATATAGAAACAGAACCTATATGAGATAGTTTGTTAAAATATACTTCTGGGTTTTAAATTAGTCTTATATATTTTAAAAGAGCTTTTTCATATTCTCGTTTTTTGTCCTCATGTTTAGTATAAAATTTCTCAGTTATCCTAAAATAATTTTTCCCAGCACATAATGCAGTTGTTACATCAGCCATCTTTGCTCCAAATCCGAGTTTGATGTTATCCCTGGATATACAAACTGAAAAATTAGAAGGGACAAGTGAAGATGCTGAAGTTTTGGATAGCACATCTACTGGTAGGTGCCTATATTTTATTTGTCCTGTTTTTTTCTAGCCCCCTGTGGTAAGATTTTCATACACATAAATAGCATTTCTTGTGGACAACATAACAGTTGTTAGATACCCATTTCTGAACATTCAAATAACATGTTTCTTGAAAGTTTTACACCTTTAAATTCCTCTAGGAATTTTGGAAAATTGGGAGTTAGTTATTTGTTTACTTATTTGTTTTGTGACAGGCTCTCACTGCGTAGCCCTGGCTGGACTAGAGCTTACTTTGTAGACCAAGCTGGTCTTTGTAGTAGGAGCTGTGGGCTGTGTTCCTGCTGCCCCAGCTCCCGGCCGCCTGGCTAGCTTATGCCCCGAAATAACAACACACAAACTGTATTCTTTTAAACACTGCTTGTCCCATTATATCTAGCCTCTTCTCGGCTAACTCTCGCACCTGGACTAGCCCATTTCTAATAATATGTGTAGCCCATGAGGTGGCTTACCAGGGAAGATCTTAACCTACTTCCATCCTGGGTTGGAGCTTCATCGCTTCTGCCCCAGAGAGGAGAGCTGTTGAGTCTGAGCTCACTTCCTCTTCCTCCCAGCATTCTGTTCTGTTTACTCCACCCACCTATGTTCTAACCTATGAGGGCCAAGCAGTTTCTTTATTTTTTAACCAATGACCTTCCTCCATCAGGTCTTGACTTCACAGAGATCTGCCTGTCTATGCCTCCCAAGTACTCCCAATTTCATGTAAGCAGAGACTGCTGGTTCATTTCCCAGCCATCCAGACCTGAATAATCAAACAGAAACTATACTAATTACAACACTGTTTAGCCAATAGCTCAGGTGTATTCCTACCTAACTCTTACATCTTAAATTAACCCATTCCTATTGATCTGTGTATTACCATAAGGCTGTGGTGGCTTACCAGGTAAGGTTCTGGCTTCTTCCTCCTTTGGCAGCTACATGGCATCTCTTTGACTCCACCTGCTCTCTTTATATATTTTTGTTTGGTTTTCCCCACCTAGTTCTATTCTGCCCTGCCATAGGCCAAAGCAACTTCTTTATTAACCAATGGTAATAAAACATTTTCATAGCATACAGAGGGGAATCCCACATCAATTTTAGGTATTTAAAATGCTTAGAAGAGGAAGTGAAAGGAAACTGTCAAAAGGAAGAGTGATTGTATGAAGCTATCATAAAAATGTTCTGTACTTTTCCTTAAGAATGTGGTTAAGAGGGCTGGAGAGATGGCTGAGTGGTTAAGAGCATTGCCTTCTCTTCCAAAGGTCCTGAGTTCAATTCCTGGCAACCACATGGTGGCTCACAACCATCTGTAATGAGATCTGGTGCCCTCTTCTGGCCGGCAGGCATACACGTAGAGATAATATTATAATATACATAATAAATAAATAAATATTTAAAAAACAAAGAATGTGGCTAAGAGCATGTGTATGTAAACCAGTTTTTAGAGAAAATAAGCTTATATTAGGAAAAGCAGTGATAGAATACTTCCTGAAACATTTTTGCACACGATAGACAGCTCTCTTTTAGAGAGCCATAAAATCACAGCAATAAATAGGATGCACAGAAGAGGCATTTGTTGTGCTATTCTATCTGAAGAATACAAGGATGATGTCCAGCCTAGCACTTCTTTCAACACAAATCAAAATTATTAAGCTTTTACTAAATGCCTACTTGGAGACAATGTATAGTATATTTTTTTAAAAGCCTTCTTAAAACTATATCACATTAACAAGATCGCAATAACTCTAGATTCTTTTGAAAGAGTTGCAGCTTTAATGGATTCTTTCCAAATGTGTACCTGTCTAGGTCTATCTAAGATAAAACTGGTAACCCAGGGCATGGGACCATAAAACACATCCAATGGCCCTCTCTCTTTATTCCTGACATTGGCAGTTTGAGCTTTCCTGTATTAACCCCCACCCTAGGTTGGGGTGATGTGGTTTACAGCATGTAACAAGAATTAAAGACAGTGTAATACAGTAGTCTCATTCTGTAGCTCAAGCTTACCTGGAACTCACTACATAATGAGGCTGGCCTCAAACCCCTGCCTTGCAGGCTTAGTGCTGAGACTCCAGCACTGTCAGGCACTAGAATTGAGTCTCAATAAAGACTTTCCGTTTTCCTCTCCTGCTTTTCTCTTATCTCTAAATCCTTTACTACAGCTGCACTGCTTGCCTTTAAGATATTCCAGATGGATTATAAGGAATGTTCAGTGGCTCACAAGATGGTAGTAGAGTGAAAACATTGTGTCTTGCTCATCCTGTAACCACTTTTCAATGAAAATTTAAATTCATCTATCTCTAAGTAATCAGTATTTCTTACATCTCCAATTTTTAGTCTACATATAATCAAGTTAGCTAACACAGAGTTTATTTGTCAAATGTTACTATACAGCTGGCAAATGTAAAAGGCAGCATAGCTACAGAGATACTCAGTAGAGACCATAAGGGCAGAGGGCTGTCAGCATTCCCAGAGCAAACGTACTCATTTCACGCAGTTTTGGTGTGTCTGTGCTATAGTCAACCCTATCATCACCTTAGAGACTCCTCTTAAGAGCAGATTGAAATAGAAGCAATTGATGACTTAGAGGCCTAGATTACCTTGGAGGAATTTAGCCATTCAGGCTCCAAGGAACTGTAACATCCCTAAACAGGAAAAGAGCAGCTAAGAGAAAGTTAAGTATGCTTTCAGGCAGAAAGGTACCAGAGGATGTAAAAATTCTAGAGAAATCCAAAAAACAGATGGTTGGAAGAGGATCTTTCCCAAAGATAGAAATGGGTCATGAGCATGTAGTGTTGTGGCAACAGGCTTCCTAGTCCTTTAAAATCAAGTAATATTTTTTTTTCATGTTTTTCAGGTATTGTGAAGACAGATAACACAGAAGTTCTTCTCTCTGCTGACTTCACTGGAGCTATCAAAGTGTTTATTAACAGAAGAAAAACTGTATTTTAATTTGAAACTATATTTAAAATAAGCCCATCAGTAAGTTTCTATATGTATCAGAAATGAGAAAGTATTATAGTGTTTCAGGCTAACATCCTTTTTTAACTTTTATTGAAAGTTGTTCAAATATAATATATATTTTTGAGAGGCAGTGTTAGTGATCTAGGAACCCCTAGACTGATAGACTAGAAAGAATGTGTCTAGATTAACATTGCCAAGCATAGAGTTTATGTTTTGTTATGTTTATGTTTTGTTATATAATTATAAACATGCACAGGTTTCTGCATGAAAAGATATTAATATATTAATCACATGTGCGTGCCTTTTGGTTACATGCACTAAATCTAACAAAGTTAAATTATTTTGGTGGCTCTTTTGGCCTCCTACTGGGTGATAGTCTTGTTTCTAGCTCTAAAATTTTTTTTGCACAAAATTTCATTTTTAAGAAACGTGGTATCTTTTGACTGAATTATTGTTTTGAAAATGTTATATAGGTTTTCAATAGGTCAATAACCATGTATAAATGGTTTTTTATAAATTTCTCAATTTGGGGACAAGATTTTTTTTGTGATCTAAATTGTGGACTTATTCTTTACTTTGTATGTGTGTATATAATATATATATATATATAAATATATATAATTTTTTTTTCTTTGCCACACTGGAGCACAATGTTTCTATGTAAAGAATTCTTTACTTTATCCATGAGCACCAGGCTTTGCTCACTTAAAAATAAGCCCCATTAAGGAGTAAGTCTTCTTTTTTACAATAATGTAAAAATGAATTGTTTACATTTTTTTAAAGCATTGTAGTTTTTAAAAATTAAGCTGTTTTGTTTTGTGTTGTTGAATTTGAAAGGCTTTGTAAATGCCAGTATAATGTACCAATGAAATAACATCTGGGACAAAGGAACCCTGGTAATGTTGTTGATGGTTTGCATATGTTTATGAAATTGAAATATGTATCATTAAAGTTGGTCATCAACACTTGTCAAAGGTGAATTATTTTTAGATGACTTGAGTAAACATAGAGATGCAAGAAAAACAAACTTTTGTCTTAAATTGAATTTAAGCAAACAGATTTTAAATCCCTAAGTTATGATGCATTAGCTACATGACTTTAAAGCTTTTCCTGAGTTGAATTCTGAAGTGAGCAGTACTGTCATCTGTGCTCACAGGCTCTTTCTGCATTTGCTTCTGGCACATGAGGACCTGAGGAGTCACCATCATATCCTCTTCAATCTAGCATGCTCTTCATCTTCAGAGGTCTTGGCTTTCTACTTGATTGCTTCTCTTCTGCCTTGGTCTTCACCTTTCTTTAGACAGTGCTCTTTCTCCTCCTTCCCTCCTTGTCCTTGCCCACCACTCTCTCCTCTCCCTCTCCCCTTTCTTCTCATATTTCTTAGATCTCACACTCTCCTATACTCTAAATGATAAATTGAATTGTTATGTCACTGTCTTTCCAACTAATCATAGGGTTTTGATTTGCAGTTTTTTTAGTCTTAAGGTCTGTGCGGCTGGTCCAGGGACACTTTTTTAAAATTCAGTCTCCACTCTGAAACTCTGAAGCAGCTTAGTGCTGAATACTTCTTTTCTTCTCCTTTTTCCTCTTTCCCCTTCTTTTTCTCCTCCTCTTCTTCTTCCATTCCCTTCTCCTTCTTTCTTCTTCGTCCTTCCCCCCCCTCCTTCTTCCTTCTTCTCCTCTTCTATTTTTATTTGTTTGCTTCTTGAGACAGGGTCTGTCTAGTCCTATCAGGGAACTCTATGTGGAGCAGCAGGGCAAGCTGGCCCCAAACTCAGAGATGCCTCTCCCTCTGCCTCTCTGCCTCTGCCTCTCCCTCTGCCTCTCTGCCTCTGCCTCTCTGCCTCTGCCTCTCTGCCTCTCTGCCTCTCTGCCTCCTAAAAGCTAGGATAAAGGTGTGTGTTACCACACCTGGCTTTGTCTGACTTCTTTCAGAGTACTTCTGTCTTGCTGGGTGTTTCAACTACAGATAATCAGGGTGTTGCTGTAAGAATACTTCCTGATAACTGTCACACAGTTGCTTAGAGAAAAGGCTAAACTAGTTGCTTAAGTGCATAATGCTGACACCTCCAATTGCTATGTAAATACTGTGAAGTTGTAAGTCAGAAGGTGCATTTGCAAAGGAAGCATCAAATACAAAGAAGCTAGGCAGGGTGTGTACACCTATAATCACAGCTCAGGCAGGAGGATCATAGGTTCATGGTTTGTCTGAACTACAGAGCAAGTTAGTTCAACTCCAGTCTGGGAAACTTTGACCCTGACTAAAATGAAAAATAAGAGAGTGGATATAATTCGATGAGTAAGTGCTTCCTTAGCATGTGGAAGACCCTCAGTTCAATCCCACTACAAAAAAAAAAAGAAAACCTAAATAGAACAATGTATATGAAGATCAGTTGAACACCATTCTCCCTAAAATGAGTATTAGAAATTCTCTATTGTGTGATGTGATTTAGGAAAGAGCAGATTCTAGAGTCAGATAAACTTCCATTCCTTGGCCAAGTTATTTATCCGATGTTACTGTGGTTTACCTTGTATGTAATATGGAAATAGCTAATGCAAAATACAAAGATTCAGTGATTAAATTGCATATGTGTGAGACATGAGATCTAGCTAGTAGGTGTACTCAGTAAATGTGCATTTTTCATTGCTCTTTTCAATTCCCCTTCCAGACCAAACAAAACATTTTTGTACACACTTTTTAAATGCATAGATTCATGGACACGAACACAATCATGCATTTTGTTTTACTTTTCAGTTAGTGCCTTACTGTGTGCCCCTGCCTGGTGTCAACCAGGCTGCCTAGAACTGACAAGCGATATACCTGCCTCTGCCTCCTGAGTGCTCGGATTAAAGGAGGGCACCATCATGCCCAGCCAACAAGAGCTTTTCAAGAATTAACATGGGACTTCTTAAAAAGACCAACCCCCAACCCTTTTTATTTTTAACTATTATCTTCTTAAAAAAGAAAGAATATTTTGATAGGCGAAAACAAAGAAGCAGTGAATAAATCTGACTTTTGAAAGAAAGTACTTTTATTCCTTTATTCCCCCCCCCCTTTTTTTCATGAAAATCTCATTGTGTTCTGCGGCAGACTGAGAACCACCACGAACAGATTGAATCTTTTATTCAGGGCTCTTTTATAGAGTTGCATTGAGTCTTCATCTTCATTCTGTTAGCCTTAACTGGGATGCAAACGTCACAACATAGCATGCCATTTTCTACTACTCTTCAGATAACACAATTGGGCAGTAACTTTTATCCTTTGAAATGTTTACTTCGTATTACATGTCCATCCCTCAACTTCTGCTCTTAACATCATGTCTCTCTTTGTTGGAATGAAAAATCGAATTATTAAAATATTTTTAATCACTTCAATATAGCAACATATTTGAGATTGGTTCCTCATAGATTTAGTCTTCTTTTTGTTGTTTTAACTTTACTTTGTTCTTTTTTATATTTTCCTTTGTGTGTGTGTGTGTGCGTACATGTTTTGACATGTGTGGGCATTTGTGTGGTGTGGATGTGCATATACCTCTGTTCATGTGCACATAAGGCCTGAAGTTGATCAAGAATTATCTTTGCAAGGCATGGTGGAACATGCTTATAATCCCATCACTTGGGAGGCAGAAACAGGTGGATCTCTGTGAGTTCAAGGCCAGCCTCATCTACAAAGTGGGTTCCAAAACAGCCAGGGCTGTTGTTATACAGAGAAACCCTGTCTCAAAAAAAAATCATCTTCTATTACTTTCACCTTATTCTTTGAGGCAGGATCTCCTACATCAAACCCAAAGCCTGCCGATGTGGCTAGTCCTGCTAACCAGCTTTCTCTGGGGATCCCTTGTCTCACCCTTCAGAGGTTGGTATTACTGGCAGACCACTACATCCACTAAGCAATTTACATGGCTTTTAGAAGATCCAAACTCCAGTCTTCATGCTTGTGTGGCAAGCACTCCAAATATTGAACTATCTCCCTAACCTGCTTATTTTAAGACAGGGTCTTATGTAGCTTACTCTCCTAATTGGGGTTTCTGTTGCTACAATGAAGCACCACTGCCAAAAAGCAAGTTGTGGGAGAAAGGGTGTACTTGTCTTACACTTTCATAACACTGCATCATCAAAGTAAGTCAGGCCAGGAACTTAAACAGGGCAGGAACCTGGAGGCAGGAGCTAATGTAGACGGCACAAAGGGGTGCTGCTTACTGACTTGCTCCCTATGGCTTGTTCAGCCTGCTTTCTTATAGATCCCAGGACCACCAGCCCAAGGATGGCACCACCCACAATGGGCTGGGCCTTCACCCATCAGTCACTAAGAAAATGCCCTACAAGCCCAATTTTGTGGAGGCATTTTCTTCATTGAGGTTCCCTCCTCTCAGATGACCTTAGCTTGTGTCAAGTTGACATAACACTGACCAGCAAACCTAGGCTGGATTCAGACTCGCTATGTAGTAAATGATGACCTTGAACCCCTGATCTATCTCGAGAGTGTAATGATTACACTTGACTTCATAGAAAAATTTCAAAAGAAAATTTCTGCCAGTTGCACTAGTTTCTGGCTTCCCACTTTGCTCATTAATCACACAATGTAAGTACCTACTGTGTATAGAAAACTGCTGAGTGGAGACAATGAACAGGCAGATTCAAGCACCAGACGAGCTCTGTCCGGAGAGAAGACTGCAGAAACGAGAAGCTTGCAACTGTCTTGTGATTGTCACCTGTTCTTCCAATCCCTGTGTGTTTTACCCTTAGTAAATTGTGGGTTATCAAGATGAACTTTGCTAATCTCATATAAAGCACTAAGGATGATACAAAGCACCCAAAATGGAGTATCAACCAAGCCGTCAACATCTCTGTTTTGAGAGAACTCAGTGGATAATAGATCTCCCAGTTGCTTTTGTCTTTACATCACTTCTTTTTTTTTTTTTTTGAGACAGGATTTCTCTGTAGCTTTGGAGCCTGTCCTGGAACTAGCTCTTGTAGACCAGGCTGGCCTCGAACTCACAGAGATCCAGCCTTTGCCTCTGTGTGCTGGGATTAAAGGCCACACCACACACCCACAGCTGGGTTGATGTTTTCCAACAGTTTGTGCCTCGACCTACCTGATGAACAGTTCCCGTCTTCAAGTGTGGGACTCCTGCTACTCTGGCAAGAGGAGATTAGCAATTTGGTTGTGGAGAAAGGGGTACACTCATCCATTGCTGGTGGGAATGCAAACTTGTGCAACCACTTTGGAAAGCAGTGTGGAGGTTTCTCAGGAAATTCGGATCAACCTACCCATGGACCCAGCAATACCACACTTGGGAATATACCCAAAAGAGGCCTTATCATACAACAAAAGTATATGCTCTACTATGTTCATAGCAGCACTGTTTGTAATAGCCAGAACCTGGAAACAACCTAGATGCCCTTCAATTGAAGAATGGATGAAGAAAGTATGGAATATATACATATTAGAGTACTACTCAGCAGTAAAAAACAAGGACTTCTTGAAGTTTGCAGGCAAATGGATGGAAATAGAAAACACTATCCTGAGTGAGGTAAGCCAGACCCAAAAAGAAGAACATGGAATGTACTCACTCATATTTGGTTTCTAGCCATAAATAAAGGGCATTGAGCCTATAATTCGTGATCCTAGAGAAGCTAAATAAGGAGATCCCAAAGAAAAACATATCCGCATCCTCCTGAATATTAACCTTCATCAGGCTATGAAAGGAGACAGAGACAGAGACCCACATTGGAGCACAGGACTGAAATCTCAAGGTCCAAATCAGGAGCAGAAGGAGAGAGAGCACGAGCAAGGAACTCAGGACCGCGAGGGGTGCACCCACACACTGAGACAATGGGGATGTTCTATCGGGAACTCACCAAGGCCAGCTGGACTGGGTCTGAAAAAGCATGAGATAAAACCGGACTCGCTGAACATAGCGGACAAGGAGGACTACTGAGAAGTCAAGAACAATGGCACTGGGTTTTTGATCCTACT